AGGGCATGTATCTTAGTTGCGGGCACGTCCCCAGTGGGGAGTGTGCAGGAGGCAACTGACCGATGTTTCTCTCTCATCGATGTTTCTAACTCTCTATCCCTCTCCCTTCCTCTCTGTAAAATTTCAATAAAATATAAAAAAAGAAAAAGAAAAATGCCACTGTATAATTATAAGAGACTAAAAGAGAAAAAGACAAAATCTTATGACTTTTGAAAACGGTTTTGGCTTTGTGGAACCCTCCAGGCTTCCCTGGTCCATACTTAGAGAACCATTGATCTATGTCTTTATTTATTTTTCTGCCTAATAGTTCTATCAGATGCTAAGAGAGAGGTATCAAAATCTCCTATTATATTGTGGAATTGTGTACTTCTCCAATTATTTCTGTAAACATTTCCTTTATGTATTTTGAAGCTTTGTTAGTAGAGTCACATGCATTTATGATAATTGTCTGTCTGCTGGATTGACACTTTAATAATTATGAAATATCTTTCTCGATCTCTGGTAATACTCTTTGTCTTGAAGTCTACTTTATCAGAAATTAACATAACTTCCCAAGCCTTCCTGTTCCATATGGGCACAGCGTATCTTTATCCATGCTTTTAAAATTTAAAAATGTAGACAGCATATAGTTGTCTTGCCTTTGTCTTTATTCTGACAACCATTGCTTTTAATCAAGGTGTTTAGCCCAATGATATTTAATGTAACATTTAATACAGTGGAATTGAGGTAAACATTTCAGTATTTATTTTCAGTTTTGTTCATATCCGTTTTTGTTTCTCTGTTTTTCCTTTTATTATTATTTCACTTTGCTTAGGATTCTCTTTTCATCTGCCTAGTTAAGCTTTCCTCCTAACCCTGCCCTGTCAGTATTTCCTGTACCCTGAGGCCAGCACATTGCCTGAATCACAGTAGGTGTTGAGTAGATGTCGGTGGGATGAGTCTAGCATGTCTTCTTCCCATCTGATTCCATACCTGACTGGCCCCGGGGTTGGGGAGAGGGGGAAGCCCACTTCCCAGATCGGGGAACAGGATAGCCAAGCTGTTAGTTCTCTCCCAGGCCGTGGACTGGTCACCATATCGATGATCCTATTCTTGGGTTTTCTGTTTCCTATGTATGGGTTTGGGTTTGGGTTCTGGTTTGGGCTTGTACCCATCATGCAATGTCAGTTCCGTCTCATTTATCAAGTTCACCATCAGAAACACAGACTATTGATCTGTTGTGCAGAGAAGGCTCAGTTCCCTCCAGTGGAGCAGACAATTGCCCCACATCTCCTGGCGGCCTTCCCAGAAACGTCTGCAAATTGCCAGGAGAAACCTAACTGGGTCGCTCGCATAGGGAGGCCGCACCAGGTGTTGGGGACACCACCACCTCCCTGTGGTGGCAGGATCCTGAGGTGGCACCCAGACGACCCTGCTGTGTGCCCTGCTGGACGATGCTCTTCCTGCTCAGGCCCCTGCAGTGAGATGGGGGCCATCTCTCCGAATCCCCTTCTCGTTCTGGGCTCTTCCTGGCTGCCTAGAGTTGCTTTGGTCCTTCCCAGCCTGTGTGACCTTGGGGCAGGGCCTAGGTCAGTGTGAGGTGCCCTCAGAGGCCTGCCAGCAGCTCGACCAAGACATGCTGATGCTCACATCTTCTTGACTCAGCCCGAGGAAGGACACTGGGTGTTCAAAATGGCTATTGGCTGCGCATAATTACCCCAGAAGTTAGGATAGTGTTTCCCTAGGCGGGGGATGGGATCGCAAGCTGTGGAGGTGAGCAGGTGGCTTTAATTGGGAAATGTTTGATTGTTTAATGTGGGTTATGAATTCACAGGTGTTTTTATATCATTCATTCTCCCTTTCCTATGTCTTAAGTATTTCATAACTGATATTTTTAAAGAGGGTAATTATGCCTCACTGACTCCCTATTCCTACCATTGATGAGCTTCCTAAAGCTAATATGAAGAGAATTGCCTCCGTTTCCTGAGAGAATATTGCTACTTTTTTTTTCTTAACTTACTTAATTTATTTTAAATCCCCACCTGAAGACATGGAGAGAGAGAGAGAGAGAGAGAGAGAGAGAGAGAGA